ACCAAAAGAGAGAGAGAGGTAATAAATAGAAGTGTGGGTGAGGGAAAAAGAACAGTATTGTACGGAAGAACAATAGAGTATTATTGCATATCACAAATGAATACATCAGCGCCAGCCATTGACAACGAGGATTTTCAGCCATATCACTGATTGCATGGAGGATTTCATCATGAGCTGACATCAGTTAGAGAACCACTGGAAAACCTGGGAGTACTGGACAGCTGTTTCGTCCTAGTTTGGGACTCTTCAACAGTACGCACCCACTGGGATTCGAACCTAGGACCTTCTGGTTACAAGGCGAGTTCGTAGACCATTGAGCCACTGGGACCTGATCCAATGGTCCTTGAATTCTAACTTCTGTCAATTCACGACATAGCGCGACCATTTCGCAATGTCTTCTTCGATGAGTTACTGCCTCATCTTCAACCTGCTGGTCACGGCTTCCCACAAAATCCCTACAAAACCAATATCACTGATTGTCTCCAGCTGCCATTAGTTCTTAGCATCTCGGGGACCACAACCATCCAGCCAGCCAGTCTACACCTACCTACATTCGACTACACAGCTATCGATAATAGAGTTTATGTGAGGCACTGACTGCAAAGTGTCCTTATTTCCCTTTAAAAATCTGACCGCAAATACACTTGATTTTATTTATTTATATCTCAGACTGCCTATCGCTAGTCAAATGATCAGGATGCTTTGCCCAAACTTGGACTGCCTTAGTGACATTCTTGAAAGCACCTCCTTTTAGACTTTTAATCCTGTTTCACAACCATAAGTACATATTCATTGGTGATGAAACATATCCGGTAACTTAATTTATTAATGAGATTTCAATACTAAATACTCAACACCACAGAAAGAAACATGACCTGTCTGATGATCCTAACTCTCCTAGTCATCTCCTTCCTCGACTGACGGGGAATGTTAGCTGACATAGGGTCAGGTTGGGAAAGAGAAGGCCAGTGTGCTGGTAAAACCAAAACCAACATTGTTTCATCATTCAATGAAATCCACAACAGTTAAAGCCAAACACGTAGGAAGGTGTATACTACTTGGCTGGTTGGGGTCCTCGGGACGGTAAACGCCAATGAAAGTTGGAAACGATAGGTGATATGGCTCATAATCGTTCTCAATGGCTGACGCAGATGCATCCACTTCTTGTGACTTATAATTTCCAATGAAACTATATTGTTTTTCGTTATTGCTATTCCTTTTGCATCATATCCCTGTTTACTGTCTCTATTTTGCATTTCTTCTACTTTCTTCTCTTGCTTTGTATGCTACATGGAGGGAGTGTGGCGACTCGAACTGCTGCACATCGGTGCAAAGTTCTTTGTTGAAAACAGATAGGCAGACAGGAAGTTGCATCAGCTCTAACTGTATATGGTTGTTGACGAAATCTCAGTAGAAATATTTTAAAAGAAACTCATTGGACATTTCTTAACTTGTATCATATATGGATGGCGTAGACATAATATCCAGCTGACCATCAAAAACGATGTGAGTACTGCCCACCAATTTACTATGTCCTACTTTACTTCTGTGACACACACACAAAGCCGCCTTAAGAAGATACAAAAGGTTAAACATTTTTGATTAATAGACACCTCAGTGAAGTCGGGAGGATCTGGACTTCGCCGATGATATATGTCTGATTTCCCACAAACTGGAAGATATCCAAGCGAAAAGCTACAAGTTGGCAGAAGAAGCATCAAAGATAGGACTTCAGGTGAACATAGAGAAAACAGAGGTGATGAAGATTCCTGGACAAGAACAACAACAACAGACAATGATCAGCATAAATGGGGGGAACCTGAAAGAAACAACCTCTTTTACCTACCTGGGAAGCATCGTTTCAACTACAGGCAGAACTGACGAGGATATCAAAGCAAGAATCTGAATCAATACTCAAGATCAGATGGCCAGCCAGAAAAGATCAGCAACAGGAAGGGATCTCTGGCAATGAGCAAACCAACTCAGCAGGAACCGATTGTGAAACAAATAGGCAGGTAGAAATGGAGATGGATTGGCCATACTCTGAGGAAGCCATCAAGTGACATCACTAGACTGACCATCGCTTGAGTGGAACCCGAAAGGGAAGCGGCGGGTTGGTCGTCAGTGCAAGAGTGACTTCGAGGAGGTCATGTGAAGAGGAGATGAAAACGTGTGGTCAGACTTGGAGCCAGGTGAAAACTCTAGCAGAGAACCGAACGCAATGGAGACGCACGGCTGAAGCCTTATGTTCCTCTAGGAATTAAAGGAAACAATAATATAATAATATAATCAGTGAAATCGCTCATATCAAATGCAGCAGTATAGTGGAGTATTGATGAGATCATGTGTAGATGAATAGAGAAGGTAAATAAAAATAAAGATGTATAAAGAACTCAAGGATAAAATACCTTGGAACAGTTTTATCCTGTCACTCTTCTTGGTCATTCCATATCTTGTCGATTTCTAAGAAAATATTCCTTCTAACCTTCTACATTAAGGAGTTGAAACAATCAGGTAGGTATCACTCAAACACTCTACTTTTACACATTGTTAATTCTTGCGTCTTACGCATTCTTCTCTATTGCTCCTCTATAGTCTTTTCTGGGCTACTCAAACAGGATTATGTCATGTTGTGAAGGGTATTAAAGGTTGTCTGTAGGGCAGGTGGTGTGTCACTAAGTCAGTCAGTCAGACAGACAGGTCGTTACTACAGTGGTCAACACACACCTAAACTCATGTGAGAAATCGTCTAAGCCCATATTGTCTGACTTTCAACACCCTCTTCTATTCTCAACTCTCCCACCCCCCACCTTGCATCATCTCATCAGGTAAGAGGATTAGAAGTCATTAGGAAAGATGATATGCTCGCTCGCACAACCAAGTACAAAAACTCGACGATAACCCCTATGTGATAGAGGTAATGTGACGTGTGAAACTTATAACTTACGAAGTACTTAGTAAAATAAGTGGCTCTTTTACCTTCGCCTATTTGTAATTTATAGCGACACTTTCTGTACATTTTTGACTTTATTGTCATTGCTAATACCAAAAAGTTCCTATTATCAATTTTGGTTACCTATACCTTATAGTATATTTTTTGTTTCCTGCTGTTGTCTGAGTAAATTATTCTATGCGATATTGCACCAAATAGCACACAAAGGTAGACAAGAAGATGAGTGAAGAGAATCAATAGAGGTTTGACAAGTATAAGAGCGAAACAGAATGAGTAATGGTAGAAAGGAATATGAAAGATTACAGAGACTGAATACATCTCCGTAAGCCATTGACAACGATTTTGAGCCATGTCACCTATTGTCTCCAGCCATTGATTCTTAGAGTCCCGAGGGCGTGCCCCAACCCGGAAGTCTGTATCTCCTTACCTGACTCAGTTTAACTTTCAAGGATTTCATGGATTGATGAGGCCATGTTTTTGTTTGGCCACCACTTACTCTTTTCCAACCTGCATCTATATCAGCTAGTAATGCCCATCGGGAGGGGGAGGCGATGGTTAGGCATGCGCAGCACGTGACCCAGCCATCTCAATCTATGTAACTTTATAGCCTCTTCGATTGATTTTCCCTCTTTGCCCAATACTCTACGCCTAACGTCAACATTACTTACCTTATTATACCACCTAACGTGAGAAAGAGATCGAAGACATCTATGATCGAAAACAATCAACCTTTTCATGTCTTCAACTCGTATTGGCTATGTTTCAGAGCCAATATTGCACCAAAAGCTGAGAATTCCAAGCTGTGTCATACGTTATGTTTTTAGAATAAGGCGAATCATTATTCTTCTTCTTACCATTAAGGTGATTTATTAGATGAGATTGAAAATCTACATTGACTTAGGAAGGTGACTAGGAAGTAAGTCAAGCAGGCCAAGTCACCACAGTGATAGCCTACCAATTTCATCTCAAAGAGGATTTACTTGTAGGGAAAGCTACCATCACCAGAGTAAAACATGGAATCAATTCATGAAGATGTTGACTTTTAGTATGAGCAGCACACGATGGTGTGACTGGCTGACTGACTGGTTTCAACATAGAACTTTGCGCCGATATGCAGCAGTTCAAGTCGCCACCCCCCTCCTTGTAGCACACAAAGCAAGAGAAGAAAGTAAAAAGGAATGCAAAATAGAGACAGTAGACAGGGATATGAGACAAAAGGAATAGTAATAACGAAGAACAATATAGTTTTATTGGAAATTATAAGTCACAAGGAGTGGATGCATCTGCGCTATTCATTGAGAAAGATTTTGAGTCATATCACCGATCGTCTCCAACCTTCATTGGCGTTTACCGTCCCGAGGACCCCAACCAGTCAGGATGTCTACACTCTTCTACGTGGCTGGCTTAAACCAACTGTTGTGGATTTCATTGACTGATGAAGCCATATTTTGGTTTGACCACCACTGGCTCTTTTCCAACCTGACCCATCCTATGTTAGCTAACAGTCCCCGTCGATCGAGGAAGACGATGGCTAAGCTAGGCATGAGTAACGTAGGTCCTAACCATCTCAGTCGATGTAGCTTCACAGCCTCGTCTATTGATTTCCCCTCTTTACCTGGCACTCGATACCTAACTTCAATGTTGCTCACCCCATTATAACACTCCACACTGGAGATAGAAAGCATGATTAAAGATAGCTAGCCAGCCAAGCTTTTCATGTTTTCCACTCCGAATGCCCATGTCTCATTCACAACCATAGAGGAGGACGGAGAGGACTGCTGAGCAGTACACCCGCGCCCTTTGGTCGATATCCAGCCGGATATCACGTCACTGCTATTGTAACTTCAAAGCTCCAGTCGGAACGCAAACAAATGCAGGAGGAAAAAAAACATCAAACAAACCACAACTAAAATGTTAAGTTATGCTTGACAAATTATAAATATAAATTAGCATAAGACAAATTTAATCATAAAATATAAATATATATTTTGAAAAAAAAGAAACAATCACAGTATACATATCTGAATAGTTAAAAAAAATCAGTTGACTAATAGAATCGAATAATAAACCAACACATAAAGAATATAATACACACGAAGATAATTAAGTAGCAATATAAACCAGAGGATAAATTCTGTTTAGCCATTCGAGATAATCGTGACATTGTAGAGCGTAGTACACCTTCTGAGTGATCAAATGTTCCAGCCATATCACCGAGTAAATTATTCTGTGATCGTAATTCATCGCCTATTTTTATTGATAGACTACGCAAACCATGGACTTTTTCAACCAGTTCAAAATTCAAGCGTTCATGATCATCATAGATAGGTGTTGACGATTTGTAATCAGGTGTATTATATGCAGCATAATTGTGTTGAGAATGTGAATACCTATTCGAGTTTGGATACATTCGCTAGTTACACTTGAAGTCCATTTGATTTAATAGATAGACAGTATAAATTGTCAAAGAACCTACAAAACCAAAAATAAAATTGGCTTAATTGTTTAAGAAAAAAAAGGTTCAACGAGAAATGACAACTGACGATAAATTGTTATGCATACAGATAAAAAGCGTTTAAAATACAACTAATTTTCACTAGTAAATTATACACAGGAAAAAAAACAGCAACTTAGGTTTATATGTGAGGATTATTGGTTAAACAAACGGACCAGAATACAATATTGCATAGAAATTTCTTACATTTAGTAAAGCACAAACTGAGAACATATAAAAAGTGGTACCACAATAAATCAACGTAAGTGTAGATAAACATATCTAGAAAAAAGTAGTGATGTTCAATAGTTCGAAGATCATAATGAGGCGATATATATGTATGACACAGTGAAAGATTCCTCTTTTATTAAAATCAACAACCCCTCATTTGTTGCATCACAGGGACTCCGAGCAGGTAACCTACACCTCCATGTGGGTTTCACACCAAGAGTCAACATTTTCATGCATTGATTTCATGTTTTACTTTGATCATTGTGCTTATAGAAGTGCGTGGGTGACTATTAACTTCTTGAAATACCTGAAACAGTATTAATGTCGCGTGACCACGGGACAACTGTTTGAGGCCAGTTCCACGCCTTCCTTAAAGTGGAATTCAGAGTTATCTCCACATGGAGGTCTTACCAGCGGGTACAGGTCGCTACAACCTGAGTCGCGATGTACAGCTTCCAGAATTTATCTTCTCTAACGCTACTAATTAAAGCTGGAAGACAGATAGAAGGCTGTCAGGCCCTTAGAGGGGAATACCTAACTCACATTAAATCCTTACTCGCCGTTAATACTTCGCCCTTAGAACCCTACCCCTCTCCCAACATTGTTTCTACGAGTTACTCCAAGATGGCAACCGCTTTTAGTTCAACCGCTATTTAAACGACCTTTCTGGTATGACAGCAATATTCTTCCCAACCAGTGTATCCCGTTGAGTGAATGTGATATGCAAACTTGAAACTATGTGAGCGCGACCATTGTATTTTTCCTCCCAAACTAATCCTACTTCAGTTGATGTTGACTACCAACGAATTTGATGGTGCGGCATGCGTAATTGTATAACTCAGCCACCTTGGTTTACATTCCACATCTAACTCTAGATGTAGTCTAAACTAGGGTATTAGAGACAAATGTCTGAGTACACAGATAGCCACCCCTCAACGCCTCCATGTCAAACAATTGGAGTGCCACATGAAGTATTTATACAAATAGTTATATCAGTTTTTATTTCTCCACCATTCCTCTAACCTCAAATAGCATATCTCAGTCATATTACAAGATTCTCACATGGCCTGTCATAACCACTAAACATCTTTGTAATTTTCAGAAATCACTTGCAGAATCAAGTTACTTTCACATGCTAAATAGATGGAATCTTTTATGCGCAGAGTAAAACTTTCACGTTCCTCTTCAGTACGAGAACGAATACTTAGAAATAATAATCAATGTCAAAGAGATATGCAGTGATAGATATTCGTGAAGGATATGAGAGTATAAAATTCAAACATATTCTTACTCTGAAGTAATATATGGCATTGATTTATGCGACTTGTTCACTCCTAGCTAATCACAACTGTTGTAACCTGACAGAAAAATCTGGCAACAAGATTAGCACAAAACTAAAACTTAATTTTAAGCCCACAGTAAATTAATTCGGAAATCCTTAATTATCAGAATTCGTATAACCACCTAGAAATATTAACCGCTAAGCGGCAATTTTGTTGTTGTACCGAGATTTTTTTAGTCATATTGAGTTTCTATGAAACGTACAAGCATCGAATAGATTTGTGGTGTATCCCAAAGGCAAATATTCCCAAATTTAATAAATGACATTGGTCTTCAAATATGTATACCATCATAATAAAAGCATTTATAGTAATCAGCTGAGGAACAAATTATGCAGAATAAAGACAAGAAACTCAACATTTTCAACGGTACAAATAATGAAATGCATCTGCGCACAATTAGAAGTAGATTAACACATTAACATCCTAACAAATGTCACATTTTATTCCGCAAGTCATACCTGAGACACTTTAGCACGGTTTAAGTTGATAAATATCCGTTAAGTTATATAATTTTTGCATATGAATATATTTCATCAAAATGATTGAATATTAATGTTTTTCAGCTCTAAAATGTCATTGTTTGTTTTTATTGAACTACAACCAGTGAACCAATTCCGAAACACCGATTACTACCCCTTTCACTTGATACCTCTGAAGAATAATTACTACACTATCTTAAATGTCATCCAGACTGATTATAAGGAATGTATCACAGAAGCATTTACTCCGACGCAATGTTACCTACGTATATGTAGTTCAAAAAAAGTGGATTTTTCGGATATGATTACGCAGAAAAAAAATTACCATAACATATGTTATGGTACTAAGTGCACTTAAACTACTGAAAAGTTAAAACTACGGTGTGGTTTAGAGTTTTACAATTTTTATCCGACACAATAAAAAGACGTGAAACTATTCTAACATCAAACCAAGATTCCTACCGTACAGTTGGATAAAACACCCATCCGTAAGAGTAAACAACAAGCAACCATTTGTAATGCTGAGCTATCTGGTTGGTCAAATAAAGGTCGTTTGACTTTGGTGTCTATTGTTTACTCTTGCCCAACCATCACTAGTGAGAAATTAGCGCTGAAAGGTTTTCGAAAAGGTTTTTCTAACTATTTTTCATAACATTAACCGTCAATGGACTACACTACCAAACTTACACGTCAACAGTAACGCATCACCTATAGAACCGCCCTCGTTGTGGATTATTTCAATATCCAATATCTCTGAACAAGACACCGTAAAGTATTTGACCTCTTGGCTCTTGTTGTTTTCAAATGGTTTTGGATCTTTATCGGGTTCCAGTGTTACAGCTCAGCTGGAGGCAATGAACAGAAAAAGGTTAATCTATTCTGAAGAGAATTTATAGTTAATGTAGGGGCAGTGAGGCTAGAGAGACTATAAAGTTTCGTCCAGCTAGGTGTTCCTCAAGAAAGGCTAAAACACTTTAGATGAAGTTTTCATGAGGGAAGAGAAAGGAAATCTAGGGACCATATTGACGGAACAAATGGAAGAAAAGACAGAAGAGCTAAGTAAAAGACAACTGAGACTAAATGTGCACATAGAAAACGAGACAGACTGTTAGGATGGTAAAATAGAATAAACAGGAGATTTGGTAGGCCAAAAAGGATTTCATTGTTGTTATATTTACACAGCTAGTCACAACTAGACTACTTCTTGTATAGATGGACGCAAACATTTCATTTCAGCACGAGTCTTGTCTTTTCTTGAAGCTATTAGCTGACAGAGTGGTGGCCACTTAAAACCGCAGTGAATTCGGTAACTTATGAGTTACAAAATGAAAGTGGTGAGCCAGAATTCTGTTTTGCCCCCAGTGGACAACTCTATTGAGGTTAACCTGAGAGATACTGTATAGCCATTCCAGTATTATGCTTCAGTAACATCAGTTTAAGTATAAGTATACTGCCCGATACGACGTGATGGTTTTAGCCACTCTCGTATGTACTCCCACCAAGAGCAAAATTAAGTCTCACTTTCCAGTCGTGAAACCTGTGCTGATTTTAATCAATTCAATTTTTCAATGAGAAAATAGCGTGTCCAACCAATAATACCATGAGTTCGTCTCACACGCTATAAACTCGAGGTATATTTTTTCCTTAGGATTTATTTTATTATCACTCTTGTTCGTACTTGGTGAGAAAAAATTAAACATGAATAGCGTAAACTTTCGTTTTCGAATTTGTGTACATTACGATTATTTGGCCATCTCCCTAAAGCGTGATGAGAATGTAGTGGTAGGTAATTCCCCAGAATTATTGGCTACGGCGTTCATCAGTGAAAATTGGATGCTGACCCTTACTGTTTAAGTCAGCTTGTTTAGGTGAAGGCTTCCTGTCAAGCATCCACGCCATTTGGCACTCTGTCGTGTTACGTTCGTTCGTTTGTGCACGATTCCTGGCCATTATAAATAAATAAATAAATAATAAATAAATTTATTCTCATAGTACAGTACATGAGGGACGCCAGTTTACAGGCATCATCAAATTGTTACAGAAATAGAACCATATAATTCAATCACAATTTACAGGCAGTAGCAAGATATGCTTTACATGTTCTTTGGAGATTATACATACACTTGATAAATGTTAATCCCAGTAGTATAAAACAGCCTTTTCACTTATATACAATCATTTCTGTGCACAGTTGGAAAAATCTGCTAGATTGTCAGTGAGTGCAAAACATCAGGAAATACAGGAGTATTGTCTTCGCATTAACAAAACAAAACCAGGTCTTTGGTGGATGGATTATAAGTGCCTGGGAAAAAAATAAAGCTTGAAGTAAATATTCATACATAACTTTGTTGTGTGCAGAGTCCTCGAATTATAGTTCATTGATGTGTTATTTTGAAATCAGTGATGTGTTTATCTCATTTGATCTGCAATGTCATTGTTGGGAGTAAATACACAAGCTTCAGACGCATTAATTAATGGATTTCTACTGCTTGTGGGTATTTTCTTAGCATGAGGAAGGTTTATGAATTTCACCTGTTCCAACAGCAGTTGAGAATATTAAATTATCTAAGGAAAGGTGGGTTGCAGTTGGTGACGGATATATGGTGCCCAACGAGCGTTCATCTGTCCATGTGATGTTGTGGTGAGTTATACCTCTTTAATGTTGTCGGTTTATGTCCATTTTATTCCACTTATTATGTTGGGTAGTAGTTTTACAAACGAGATTTCTTGTCTGTTTGAGGATACGTATCTTAACCGTTAATGTTTTATCTAGAAATAAATATAGGCAAAAAACAACAGGTGTAGTATTTAAGCTTATACATTAAATGGACCTATAATTTCGGAGGCTCTCAGATAGGAACTAGAACTACTATCGTTTGCAAACTCTTGTAGTTTGTCATTAAGCACCTTTTTGAAGGAGGCCAATGTACTTGCTTGACGCATTTCCACTGGTAGTTTATTCCACATCTGTGCATACCTAATCAAGTAAAACTTTTGCCTGGAGGCTGTTTTACATTGTTCGATAGCTACTGTACCCTTAGTGTGTCTTAGTCTGTAGCCATTGTCATCTGAAAGTCGAGTGCCATTAGTAGAGGTAAAAACTAAGTGGTTTAGAAGCTTATAGTAAAGTGTCAAGTTTAGTCTCAGGTGTCTTAGCCATAGTGTTTCTAGTCCTAGGGTATCACATCTAGTGGAGTAGTTCGCACCATTTTCGGTTCCGAGTAATTTTAACGTGAAGTACCTCTGCACTCCCTCGACTTTCAATTTGTCCTCTATGCGTATACTACTATACATGAATGAACAGCAATCAAATAAAGGACGCACACAAACCTTGTACAACAGAATTCCAGACTCATTTCTGCAGAAGTTCCTGAGTAGAAAGCCGATAAGTCTGCGTGACTTTGACACTTGTTTGGAGATATGTTCAGAAAATGATAAGTTATGTGAATATTTCAGCCCTAGGTCCAGTACAGATTCCAGTCGTTGAAGTGCATGGCCTTGAATTGTCAGGTCAAGTTCTAAATTGTTGCAACCTATGTAGAGCCAGCCACATTTTTCGACATTAAATTGGAGTTGCCAGGTGTCACACCATCTATCCATTTTTTCTAATTCTTGCTGTATGGCGTTTACTGTTATTCCAAGATCTGTGTTCTTGCATCTATACGTCACTTTTAAGTCATCTGCATATAGTATTGGTTTACCTACACTAAAGCATTCACAGATACTGTTTATATAAATTATGAATAAGAGTGGGCCTAATACACTTCCCTGGATCACACCACTACTTACTAGTTTAGGCCTTGAGATTATCGAGCCAACTTTCGTTGTCTGACTTCGGCCACAGAGAAATGATTTTATCCAGCTCAGGAGAGGATCACATATCCCTAGTGAGCATAACCTGCTGACTAGCAGATTATGGGGAACTCTGTCGAAGGCTTTTGTTATATCGAAATATAGCACAAGTACTAGTTCTCTGTTGTCCCTACTTCGTGTAACTTCATTGAAAAAGTCTATGTGGCAGGTCACACATGATCTTTTTTTAAGAAATCCGTGTTGTGATGGATTGATAAGTTCAAGTTCTAGTAAGTTGTCTGACACTTGGTCTTTAACCACTTTCTCCATTATTCGGGATATTACCGGTGTTATATTGATAGGTCGATAGTTGCATACACTGGTTTTGGCCCCTGCTTTGTGCTTAGGTAATATGTATGTGTTTTTCCACACTTCAGGATAAGTTCCAGTTTCCAACGAGAGAGTAAATATTCTAAGTAACAAGACTACCATTTCCGTGCTACCATTTTTGTACATGACAGATGGTATGTCATCTGTTCCAGTACTACCATTAGACTTCAAAGTCTTAATCGCTGAGTCTATATTTCGTATATTAAAGTCTATTTCGCCTAATTTGTGGTTACTTTTGCTGGTCATTTGGAAATTTTGGGTCGGGTGCACTCTGGCGTCATTGCAAAACCACTCATTGAGGAGTTCACTTATAACCTGGGGATCATTGTATATTATACCCTTGTGTTCCAAGCTGCTTACAGTATTGTCTTTACTGCTTTTTAGACGTTTCTGCAATATCCTACAAAGTTCCTGAGTTTTGGAGTTACCCACAAGCGCTTTATTTTCTTCAAGTTGTGACATCATTTCGCGTTTATCTTCAAGCCGTTTAAGAGTTTCATGTATTTGGTTCGACGCATTAAATTCCTTAAATACATGGTATTTCCTTTTCAATTTCTTTAGTTTTAGTCGCGTTTTGCGGTCTATAAATGGAGTTGGTGTCTTTAGAGCAGATTTTAGGGGCGCGATTACGTCTCTTGCTGAGCCAATTGTTTTGTAGAAAATATCAAGTGATACTTCCAAGTTATTGTTAATGAAGTATTCTTCCCAGTCAGAACTTCTCAGCAGATCTGATAGGAATTCCCAATCGGCATTATTATAGTCCGTATACTGATAGTGCACCGGGGAATTTTTAGGTGCGTGTTTAGTTGTTAGTCGGAATGGTAGCGTGCAGTACAATATGTTGTGATCACTGTTATCAAGTTTATTTCCTAACTCTATCGAGATGGGCTCTATTTCATGACAAAGGATTAAGTCAAGAGTGTTTTCATTTCTTGTAGGGAGGCGTACGCACTGCTTCCATCCGCCTACGTCTATAGCTTGTAGTAGCTCGTCATGGATTCTAGGTCCTGTACAGGTATCCCAGTTTACTCCAGGTAAGTTGAAATCGCCACAGACTACTTTGTAGTCAAAGTCCAGCGTAGCTGCATGCTCTAGTACTTCTCCAATAGCTATATCAGTCATTTCAGGGCTATTAGGGGGTCTGTATATACATCCCACGAGAATTTTATTTTCGTTTGTGTGGGTGCTTATCCACTTAGATTCAGGGAGTTTGTCAGTAGTTGGGTTATTGAAAGTATTGGAGTTAGTGGATTTAGAGGCATGTATTAGAGCAGTCATCTCACATTCCGATTTGGTCCCGTAATATAATTCGTAATTTGGATGATCAATTATTATGTTTTGCTTTGTCTTTGGTCTACGCGGAACAAATGCTATAGAAGTTGTGGGTATTAGATCTTGCGTTAGTAAACTTCGTACTATCCGTGAACATCGACACCCTTGGCTTCTAGAAGAAGGAGTTTGGAACTTTTAGTCATTTTTCACCTCATCAATAATGGTACAGATAATCCACTTAAATTCCGTGGCAAATAATGAACCATTCTTTGAAGTATTTCCAGCCCACATAAGTCAGCGTTTAGATGAGACAGATTACTGTTGTTGTTATTATTATTATTCGTTTTGTGCATTCCGCTCTTGAAGCCAGATGAAGGAACAAGATGAGATGAAGATATGCTGCTGAAGCCCTGAGTTCCACATGAAACCTGGTTTGTTTTATTTTATTCCTTTGGGTTCCGAGTGGAATATAAGGCATTGCGCCTGACTTCTGAAGTTCCAGTAGCAGTGACGATTTTCCGGATTGAGACAGTTAGGTTCACATGTGACCTCCCCTCTACACCAGGACTAATACTGGCTCGGAGATGTCTAGGAATACGTAGGCCGAGAGTCAAGACCCAGACCACGTGCGTGGTTGGTGGGTATTCTACCAGTTAACCTCTGACGCAGCGCAACCTAGCAGAACAATGATAATACATATTCTCAGTTTTTGTACATGAAGGGTGTCTTTTTGCAGGCATCACAAATAATACAAATAATATATACATTCAGTAAGCCTATTTACAATTATTCGCTCGTACAGGATGTATATACAAGGAGAGGTGATAAATTAATGACAGTAAACACACTTTATATTGCTAAAAGCAAATTATATGATGTAATCCTAGGCATCATTATTAGTAAATTTGGCGAAAATGGTCGTAACAACTGAAGGCTGCGTTACATATGGTCAATATGTTGGGCTATTCACAATACTA